CGTCAGTTATCAGGGTGGGAATGGGAGGTACATCAGCTATGCCACAGAGTGATTTCTGGGGCCTCTGCCCATGAAGAAGCAGATCAAAAAGAAGTTCGTGCCTGCCAGAGTGAAGCTTTCACCATAGCAACACATGTTATTCTACAAACAGTCAGGACTAAGGAGCTCTGTTGTGACCAGTCTAGATACTGCCTCTGAGAAATGAGCCACTGAGGGCTCAGACAACAGAGCCAGAAAGAAAAGCAGACAGGACAGTCTTCTCCACAAAGCTGACAGGGGCAACACCAAGACCCTGCCGGTACTTACTGCCCCTGTTCTAATAAGACGGATGTTAGAGAGAAAACTGCTACTTTGCAGAGAGCAGCCGCACCACAGAGATCCCTGGGGAAAAGAGGAACTGGAACAGAGCCACCAAGAGACCCATTTGATGAGCAGACAGCTAGTGCTGGAGAACTCGAGGGGATGGTCTCCACCTCAAAACACATCATCTCTAAAATGCAATGCATCCAGGGTGTCCCATGAACCATCTGAGGCTTACTGGCCTAACAGTGAAAACAGTAACAGTCATCAGTGTGGCTGTTGAGATGGATGAAGTGCCAGTGTACCAGGCACAGTGCTGGGTATTTTTACACATATTAGTCTTCATCCTGCAGTTGAGGTAAAAAAAAAAACTCACTAGCAATTAGCCATCTTTCTGGTTATCACATGTTTTGCCAAAGGAAGAAAATGGAATAACCAATATGTCCTTACATCCCATAGGACAGGGGTACACCTGGAGGCTCCAAATTTATGCTCTGTTGCTCAAATCACTGAGCTCTGCGTGCATAAACTCAACCACCAAACAAGAGCACCCAGGAGAACAAGTCCCACTCCTGGTTTCCTCTGATAAACTAGGGCCTCATGATTAATAGGCAGTTGCTCTATCACTTGAGCCATGCCCCCAGTCCTGTTTTGCTTTAGTTAACTTTTCAAATACGGTCTCTCTTTCTTTGCCATGGGGCCAGCCTCCCCCCTATGGCCTCTGGCACAGCTGGGATCACAAGTGTGAAGCACCAGGCCAAGCTTATTTGTTGAGATGGGGTCTCACTAACTTCCTCTTCTAAGCAGGCCTCCAACCAAGGCCCCCCTCCACCCCCACCTCTGCCTCCCCAGTAGCTGGGATTACAGAAATCAACCACTGTGTATGGCTGATGCAGAATCACTTTGTGATACTAACATTCACACATGGGACCAGCATGTTATGATACCTCAAGGAATGTCCTGAAGGATGTGAACAAGTACACATTAGTGACCCTGTGCACTAATGGCTGTGATGCATGCAATGGGTGACCATTGTATATGCAGCAAACATTTCATCCTGACAAGTCAGTCATGGTGTCACGAACAGGGAAGACGGTAGTTCCTGGAGAGAGGACAGATCTGCACACCTGTTTCCAAAACAATTAAAAAGCAAGAACCAGCAAACCTCCCCTGGGTCCTAAACCCTCAGAAGCCAAACCTAAAAATGACAGGTTCAGAGTTTCAGCAACATTTCTTTGCAGCTGCAGAGACGAAAAAGAAAATTCTGTCTCAAAATGACACTTTAAAGGTAGTATATAAATTGCTTCCTCTTTCTTCTAGGCCCCCCCCTCCCCTTTTCCTCATTTTCCATTCCCTAATGAAAGAGTTTTCCTCTTCTCCTGCCTGTTTCAGTTGGAAACGTGGCACAGGACACTAGAAGGCGAAGGGAAAGGGGAGAGGAAGGCTACTTTCAAGTCTGTCACACCCCAACTGGCCGCCCGCACCCTGAAGGACCGTCAGTCAGGCCAAACTCCACCTAAGAAAGGACCAAACTGTTGAGTAGAAAACTCTTCCTTGCACTACCTCTCCCAAAAGCAGAGTTAAGAAAGAGAAGCTGGAAAGGAAGGAGGGGGAAAATAAAGTTCCACATTCCTGACATTTTTTAGCCAAGTGCTGTGGCTGCACAGTACAACTCTATTCCAATCAGCCCCTAGGACGAGGAGAAAACCTAGCTCAGAGGGAAAAATCTGCCCCCAGCCTTACAAATCAGATGACCCAAAACTAAACCAAAAGTGTGTCTGTGTGTTGTGGTGTTGCAGGGTGGGGGCCAAACAGCCTTTCATGTGTGTTCCCAAAAGGAAGTGATCCCAAGGGAAGGAATTTGGAGTCAACATCTCCCTAAAGACAGAGAGCCAAAGCCCAAGGGTCTCTGAGAGTGAAATCAAAGCCCCCTGTAGGCTGCAGAGGTCACTGGCAAGGCTGAGATGGCTCTGGAGGGCTGTGGCTACCTCTGTAGGGGCATGGGACACAGCTCCTTGGCAGAGGCTGAGTAGGGGACCCCAGACAGAGGAAGAGTAAAGAAAGTCTCTCTCTGTGGGAAGAATTATAACTGGGTTTTCCTGGCTCAGCTTCTGAATGAAGGAATCTTAGCCTAGCCCAAGACAGAAACTCAGGAGCCTGATGGACTCTCCCTCTTTCTCCCCATTCCCCTTACACCTCCTTCTGTCCTCACTTCTAGGAAAACCTGTGCCAAGTCCTGGACTGACCTCTCCACTGTATGCTTCACTACACACACACACACACACACACACACACCCCTAGGAGAGCACCCTATGTAATATCTAGTCTGGCCATTGCTAGATTTTAGGCACCTCTCCCCCCATCTCTCCCCCCATTCTATCCCCCACATTCTCCCATTTTACTCCAAGTTGCAAGCAGAGTTCTATGCCTACTACCCTGCCCCTCAATTAAAACTGTCTCTGAACAGAGTCCATACATGAGAACAGACAGTGAGGACTTACTATGTGCCCTGCACCAAACAGGAGACCTCTCTACTGAAGATTCAAGGCAAGGTCCTCTTCCTCCCAGACCAGCACAGACTGATGATCCTGCAAGGCACCTCTGAGGAGACACCTTGTAGGGCTAAGGTGCTACAGGAAGAGAGGTGGGGATGGTGGAAAGAGGGGGCCTGCTGACATTTCAACCAGGCCCTTGCCACATTCCCTACCCATTCCTAAGGGGGAGAGAGAGTAGCTTTGTTTTCTCACCTTAACCCTTTCTCTTCATCAGGTACTAAGAAGAGTTCTCAGCACCTTTCAACTTGCACAAATTGGCGGGTTTAATACATAGGACTTTCCACAAAACTAGAGAAAGAAGGAAGAAGGTACAAAGCTCAAAAGCTAGGCAGCTTTTTTTTGTTAAGGTACAGTCGGAAACCTTAACAAATGCTAGAAATACAGCAGAGTGCCACTGGCTATGTTAAAAAAAACAAAAAAACCAAAAAACTTGGCAGGCTGCAAGGCGTGTGGCTATGAGGCTTATGGTTGACACGTGTCTTTCCAGCCATACTCACCAAGACTGGGGACATGGTACTGGAAGGTCTCTTAGAATGGAGGGACTGCAAAGAGACAGGAGGATATTGGTTGGACAAAACAAATCCTCTGCTTTTTCATTAAGCTATTATGATGATTAATAATAACAGGGTTCTAGGAGCAAGAAATTGCTTCTCATATTGGTGGGAAACACTACAGCTTTCGTTGCTAACATAATCTCAGTTAAACCTTACAATCACCCAGGAAGGAAGACAGCTTTTCCCAACTTCTTCAGTGATGGGAAAACTGAGGCTGCACTTGGTTTTCAATCAGACTAGTATCAGAGCAGGGAGTGGGACACAGCCCTATCCAATACACCAAGGGAGAACCGTGGGAGCCAGAAGGAGAGGGAGTGAACTGAAGTACTACCAAAAGCACGCAGAGATCCCAATCCCAGTCAGGCTTATTTCCTACAGATGCACGCATCCAAACCTGACCTGGCCACCATAAAAATGTCTCCAGCTTGAAGACAGCTCTACCAGCCAGGTAGGACCCTTGTCATGCACAGAAAGGAGACAAGGAACCCAGAAGAGACAGGGGGACCTGGAAAGAGAAAACAACCACTCTACAAATGCTTCATCTCCATGGCAGTTTTAAATGGTTACAGCTACCTAACACATCCCCCAGAATGCAGATAAGCAACCCTATCCAGAGGGAGGACAAGGAGCCTTCTCAGAGGAATCAGAGACCACGGTGGGAGCCAGGGGAGTGCCACTTACATATTTCACTCTGAGACGAGATATGCCGCAGCAAACCCATACCCAGTTTCCTCCAGTTTTTCCCACTTTTGAACATCGCAATTCTCTCACTCTGTAAGAGTAGGGTGTGCTTCCCATCAGCCCCTTACATTCTGACCCCTTGCTGGCTTACTTAAACTCTCTGTTCTGAGGCCTACACCAGTGTGTAGGATCCCAACCTCTGAGCCTTGCCACCCCCGCAGCTACAAGCTTTCCCCTAAAAGTAGAGGGTATTCCTGTCTCTACCCCTGTAAAGCCATCACACATGGCTCTAAAGGGACAGCCCATAGAGTGACAAAGGCTAGCTCAAAAACTACCTTTTACGATGTAGTTAATTAAAACCAAAAATTTTTTTTAAAAGGACAGCAGAAAGCCACCACTGGGATGGACACCTGAGGGGAGGATGCAGAACACCCTGAAAATTAGGAGAGAGGTGGAAAAGGATCAGGGTTCCTCCCACTGGAAGAGCCCAGAAAAGTTGGAGGCCCCCACTTGGGAGGAAGGTGGTTGTGCAATGACTGCGGGTCTGGGAGTCTCCCAGCTTGGCTCCCGGACATTGGAAAGGAAACCCCACGCGTCGGGCCAGGGTGGCAGCGCTGTGGCTGGTTCTAGGCCAGGTTTGGGTTTCAGGGTTACAGAGGGGAGCCGCAAGATAGGGTGGGTACCCAAGGGGGCGGCAGAGCACGGCGCGGCCGGCACGACCCGGAGCTGGGGGTGCTGTCTGGGCTGACCTGGGTACAGGCCAGGGAGGTACCGTGCACAAAGCCGGGGTGCAGATAACGTACAAGGCAGCCAGGCACCCCGGCTCAGAGGAGGACCCAGGGGCCTGCAGGACACACGGGAGAGGGGCGCACGCCTGCCCCTCCGGCGCCCCTTCCCCACGCTCTCTCACCTCGAACATAAGCCCGATGAGGACGCAGAGCACCAGGCAGAAGCCGATGTCCGCATGGTTGTGGATGACGAACTCCTGGCTGAAGAGCGGGTAACTTTTCGTCCTCCTGCGGAAAGCCATGGCAGCGGGCGCGCACGGCCGGCGGGGCCCGCACCCTCGCTCCCCAGCCGCAGCGCAAACTTCTCCAGCCCCGGCCCGGTCCGCCCGCCGGCCCGCCGCCCGCTCGCCCCGCGGCCCGCCCGCCCAGCGCGGAACAACTTCTGGGCCCCGCCCCTTCCTCCGCCCGCCCCGCCCCCGCCCCGCCCCCGCCGGAACCGCCCTCCCCGGCCACCGCCCCTCCCCGGCCGCGGCGCGCGCTCGGCGCGCAGGGCTCGCCCGGCCCCGCCCCCTGCGCGCTTTTAACCCTGCCGCCGCCGGGGCCGCCGTGCGGGAGGTCGAGGGCGGCGGCCGCGGCCCGGCTTAGCACTACCCCGCGCGGGCCGCATGCCCCAGGGCGCGGGACCCGCCGCCGCACGCGCCGCGAGCGGGCCGGGGAGGAGGCGGCGCCCGGGCCTCGGACAGGAAGTGGGCCCGGGTTCGCTGTCCTCGCCCCGCTCCTTCCTCCGCGGGAAGGGAAGGGAAGGGAAGGGAAGGGACTGGCCGGGAGGCTGCGGGTGGCCGCGGGGCTGCGGGCGGGAAGCTGGGAGGAGCACGCGTGCGGAGGAGCGGGGAAGCCTCTGGCCGGCGCCCTCGCTTTCCGCTGCGCCCCGCGCGCACGGCGAATGAATGATGGACCGCGCATCCCGTGTTCCACAGCCTGCGGTGGGCTGGGCTCCGTCCAGCTGCCGAGAACCCGCAGCAAACAAAAGGCCCTGCCCGAGTGGAGCTTCCTCTCCCGGGCGGGGAGTGAGTGCAAGATGAGTTCTAGTTGACCCCTAATTTTTGAGACCTCAGTTAAGATGACTTTTATACACATGTCGCTCAAAGTCTGCCTTCAATATTAATTGATCTGAAGGAGTGGAAGAATAAACACGAAGAAAGAAAGGAGGCTCATTGAAAGTTTTTATTTCATATTACGCTTTAAAAGTATTCCAGGAAAGACAAAAGTTCTTTTTAAATAAACTAATTTATATGGGCAAATATTGGATTTAATCCTACCAGTCATGAAGGAGCAACTAATCACTTTCTAAATGTACGGAAATGCAAAATGAACAAAGAACTGTTGAATTTCTATTTCTTTCTTTATTAGGTCCACAGTTATTTCACTTCTGAGTAAATATGATTTCTTAAAATGGCATAGTGTCTGAAATGTGACTGAGACTGGATGGAGCTCCTAGAGAAATTTTACTTACTACGTTTGCACAATTCAGATCTTAGCAGTGTTGGGTCTTTAATTCCCCTGTCTGACACTCAAGGAAATGAAAAAGTACAGTAATGCATATATCGTACAAAATCTCATTTAACTTGAAATCTAACTTTTCTTGAAGTTGGCACTTAGCCTCGTGAGCAGCCAAAAGACCAGGAGCTCTGGAGCACCTTGATTTTCTATCTGAAGGCATGCTCACATTTTTAGCCTGCAGCACATCAATTAGGTTGAGCCCTAAGAAACTGGTTTCTTTATGGGTCAAAACTGTGGGATACCAGTGTTCCAAATGGTTCTGCCTAATAGTTCCACCATGTTTCCCCGTGGCTATTGGAGATATCATACAAGAAATTCCCTGTGTAAGGCGGGATGTTGTAATATCTTACCCTTAAGACCTTAGGCTGAAAGTCCTGGAAAGTAGGTAATAAAACCTCCATATTTTTATGGATGCCTTAGTGCTCATATTGCTTGCAGCCAGCTCTACCCTTGGAAGTAATTGAACTATTAGACCTAGGGTTCTGAGACACGGCTTGACAGCATCACTTTGAAACCTGCAGAGGAAGTACCCAGTGCTTACTTCAGCTGTTGTAGTTGTTTCTAAGCTTCCAAAACCATCTTCAACCCAAATGGACCATTTCCCAGGACTTTCAGCCTATAAATTCTTAATGTTAAGAGATTGACAACATCCCACATTTTGTAAGAAATTTGCAAACCCTCCCCAGTTCTCATTCCATCTGTCATGGAAGCCTATGAATTCTTCTCAGAATCTCTCTTTCCAATCCCCATTGCCACTATTCTACTCGTGGCCCACAGAAATTACCCATAAACCTCCCTGCCTCCAGTATCTCCCCGTTTAGTGTTAGATCCATTAGAAATGCTTGTGGACAAGACACTGTGCTAGTTACTAGGATCAGAGATGTAAGATGACCCACGGGTGCTTTTAAAATATGTCTTCAAATCATTTGATACTCCTCCCTTCAAGACGTGGTAATTTATTCCCCTTACCGTGAGCATGGAACAGACTTAGTGGCTCACTTCTAACAGAATATAGCATCATTGATGATATGACTTCCAAGACTAGATTATAAAAGGAATTTGGGGGTTCTTCTTTCTCTTTCTTGGATCACTCACTCTGGGGGAAGCCAGCTGCCATATTGTGCAAATAGTCCTTGACCTAGGGAGAAGTCCATGGAGCAAGAACTGAGGCCTCCTGCCAACATCCAACACTAACTTGGTGGGCCTGTGAGGGAGCCACCTTGGATGTAGATTCTCCAACCCCATGACACTTTCCGCTGACCTCTACACAACCTTGTAAGAGACCCTAAGCCAGAACCAGTCAGGTCTAAGCCACTCCCAAATTCCTGCCTTACATGAGGTAATATTTTCTATTTTAAGCCACGAAATCTTGTAATTTGTTATGTATCTAGTACAAACTATCAGAACTTATAATATTTTAGAAGAGACAGACATCATCACAATTCAATGTGATGATGGTGACCATAATAACAGTTTGAAACGTACATTCTGAGTATATAAAAAAAGACAACTTCTGTCTGTCTGGGGTATGAGGAAGAGGACATTTAAGCTGGGCCTTTATCTGACAGCGATTCTTCTGATAAGGAATGCAAAAGAGGACTGAGAGAGAAATGTGGAAAATTAGTACGGAGCTCAATTGTAACAGGTTTTAAATGCCATAGTAAGAATTATGACATTATTCTGTGAACAGTGGGAAGAAATGGAAAGTTTTTAAGCATTACCAAATCTATCTTAGATCTGTCTTAGAAGATCATTCTGATTTAAGCAGAGGACCAACTTGGGAAACTATACAACACTCCAGTAAAGAAACGAACATTTCTATGGCTTGGGGTATAGCTCAGTGGTAGAGTGCCTGCCTAGCAAGTGCAAGCCCCTCAGTTCAAACCCCAGGATGAAACACAGAAGAAGGAGAAAAGAAAAAAACAAACAAAATGTTATTTTTTTCTTTCATAAAATCGGAGAACAGGAGGGCAGGAGGGAGGATGTGGGTTAAGGGTGTAGGAGGGAGAATATGGTACAAATACTGTGTATACATGTATGTAAATGGAAAAATGAGACCTGTTGAAACTATTCCAGGAATGGGAGGAGGGGGAATAAAGGAGAATGACGGAGGGGGGTGAATTCAAGTATGATATATTTGATATATTGAAAGGATTTTGTAAATGCCACAATGCACCCCCAGCACAATTAAAAAAAAGAAAAAGAAATGAACACTTCTCAAAGAATAGTAGTGATAGGATAAAAGGAAGGAAATTATTTTGGAGCTATTGGATTTGAGGACTGCTTAAATATAAGATGTAAAGGAAAGGCTGGTGGAGTGGCTCAAGTAGCACCTGCCTAGGTAAACATGAGGCTCTAAGTTCAAATTCCGTGTACCACAAAAAGATAAATAAATTATGATTTTTTTTTTAAAAAGACTTAAGGCCAGGAACTAGTGACTCATGCCTATAATCCTAGCTACTCAGGAGGCAGAGATCAGGAGGATCCCAGTTACAAATCACCCAGGGCAAATAGTTTGAGAGACCCTATCTCAAAAATGCCCAAGGGCTGATGGAGTGTGTCAAGTAATAGAACGTCTACGTGGCAAGTGTGAGGTCCTGAGTTCAAACCCCAGTACCACCAAAAAAAAAAAAAAGAGTGTAAGGGAGTTGACTGAGACAAAACTTTAGGCTGGGATGACGTAAGTGATGGAGGGGCCGTTACAAGAATACAAACAGTGGGCTTAAGAGAAGAGAAATAGCCTTAGCTTTGAGCAAGCTGGAATTGAGGAGTCACGAAACATCCAGACCTACATTTTGATAGTTTAGCTGGAAACTCTTGGATTGGATTTGGGTAGGGAAAATCAAAATGAAGGTATTTGTGGCTCCTCTTCAATGAGACCGTGAAGCCATAATGATAAATGTGAATTAAGTGTTCCCAGGAAATGGAGGAAAATCCTGAGGTCAGCAGAATGCTACTGAATCCCAGCATGCAGAAGGGAGAGGAGCAGAAAGAGAAGGAAGGGGTCAGTGGGGGAAACTATGACACATGGATTTCACAAGGGTAGGGTAGGTCAGGCAGGATGAGAATAAGATGAGTGCCCAGCTTTAGTCACCAATGGCCTTTGAGAAGCCACTTTTAATTGAACATTGGAGTGGGTGTAACAGTGGGTAGAAAATGAGGAGGAGGTGAGAAAGTAGTCTATTTTTAAAAAGAAATTTGGGGAGGAAGGAGGAAATGGGATGCATTTTGGGGGATATGGAGGGCTGATGGAAAGACTTTTAAATTATATTTAATTTTTGAGATTGGAGCATGTTTGGAGATAGAAAAGAAAGCCCGAGAGAGCGAGGGGGAGATACATCATTCCCTCATCATGACGACAGGGACCTAAGAATGGGTGAATGTATAGTTACATCTGTAGGTGGAGGAAATAATAACCCCTCCTATTTATATGCACTTTACAGTTGTCCTGTGAGGGAAGCAAGACAGTTATTACCAACCTCTTCTTGTAGCTGTTCTGAGACACATGAATGAATAGGGAACCACAATAATTAATGGGTAGCAGAACCTGGACTCAGCCCAGTGAGTCAGGCTCTCAACACCAGGTTCCCTGTATTTGGCCACACTGTACTCACCAGGCTTCCTAAAGCAAGGCCCAGTCAGGCAAGCACCAGGGGCCTCTTCTCTACTAATCCAGTGGAGTTGTAGCCAACAACTCTGATTAGTCCCTCTTTCCAAAACAGATCTATTGGTTTTCAGTCTCTGGGACTTTGCTACCCTCACAAAGCCTTGTTTGATATCCCTTTGCCTAAAAAGAAACCTTTGAGATAGAGTATGTACCTCTTTCTTTAGGTAGCTTCTTGGCACTGGTCTGGAGTCCTTCACACAGCATCTTGTGTAAA